TTCTGGCAATATGACAAAATTATGAAAGCGAGGCCAAACATAATAATGGGATATGTAAACGAAGGATGGTTGTATTATCAGTAATAAAGATGGAGATATTAATGTAAAATGATTAGAATTCTTAGTCTTAAGCAAAAACTGATTTCAAAGGAATACTGAATTGTCTTCAGCAAAAATCAAAGCATTGTGTAAAGAAGTCTTAGACTTATCGGGGTTGCAGGATCTGTTCTCCCTATCATAAAGTCTTCAATTTAATACTTTTTAATATTCACGAAGTGTTACTGGGTTTCAATAATTATCCTGAGATGACATTATTGCATAGAATTTCCGTTTGTATGAAAGCGTCTCATCAACATTTGTTAGCACACACACACACACACACATACACACAAGTAGAGTCCGTAGGCTGATATGAAAAAGAACTAGCCAAATTATGCTATATCTATCTATACAAATCAACAGTAATGTTTTTTCATATTCAGCTGTAGTGTATGTAGCATGTTTGAAAAAGCCGACTAGTCTCCTTGACTTGTTTTTTTATTAGATTTTTGAGATCACTCATTTGATGCTTACTTGGAGCTTTTAGCAGAATCAGTTCAAGCACCGACGATGCTTGACCTATGACAGAAGTCTCGTCGACAGTGTAAGAATGAACTTCTTACTACAGACAAACGACTACATAACAACGGGAATTATGAATTATTTCATCAGGGATTTACAACAATTATCCTCCAGTTTCTATAATGACCATTTTACGAGTGTTGTTCAGCCATCTGAAATGAATTGAAATATTCCACAATCAGAATCTAGTTGGGTCATTTTCACTGCTCCGTTTCTCCGTATATCTACTTTGGAGTAGTGTCTTACACCGTTTATCAAACCAAAAGTGAACGTCTCGGTGATAGAGATCTCCAGGGCCCTAGCAACAGTAATAGAAATGACTCATGTAATTGTGGGAAAATGCAACTTTTAGCATTCTTGTCAGCCCTAACGAAAGAGTGAATGTACATCATTTATATGATCTACTGACAGTCTTGAAAAACTACTTACAAATGAAAAACAGGAATTTTATTGTATATATGAAGAGTACTAGATTTAAATGAATCATCTTGAGATAACACCTACATTTCTTTTCTTAGTGCATAAATAAGAGCTTCGAAGGTTGATCTCACCAGAAGACGACGGCTGAGTCGCCTTGAACTGCCGCCACTTGGCTTCGCTGGACATCATCAGAGCTGGAACTCATTCTTGTAATAGTCTCACGCCAACACTGGATCAAAAGCCAAACGGCTGCAGTACAACGGGCATCAACCATCGTCTTCTGGAAAGATTGGCCTGTGGATGTCTTCTTTACACACGTACGTAATACGCAATGAAAGTCTTCCCAACAAGAATTTAATTAGATGTATTCATCATACTTTGTTAAGGGTGATGAAGGACTGGCAGTCGATTTTTCCCACAATGATATGAGTAGAGCTGAGGTTTCCATTCAATTTCACATAGCTTTGCTTTCCAAAATGTTGTTCTCGAAACTCTACTTACATACGAAATATAGGAATTTTATTCGAAGAAAAGTTGGCTTTCATAATAGTTGAACTTACTTCCATTTCGAGTGAAAGTGTTGCGTAAAGAGATTCGAAAGTCGATTGCACCAGAACACAAACAGGCACATACACACACAGAGACAGACACACTCACAGGCTTCGAAGTTGACATGTGACCGTAACTAACCGAATCACTTTATACCTGATCAAAACGGCCAGATGTAGAGTAGATATACCGCTTTTTAGGGATTTGCAGGTGAGCTTTTTGACTCAGCTTGAATTTTGTCTGAAATTGTCTGGGGAAGACAGCTGATCAAGAGGAATCTGATGGGATCGACCTTCGCATTTCTTCACAAGTTACTTCCCTTCGAAATGTAAGTAAGCCCAACAAGAGGTTAAATAGAATATATGAAGACCAAGATGTGGTGGTCTCTGTCATGGTTGACCTCGTTGTCGCAAATATGCCGGCGAAACGTTTTGAGAATGTATCAAGTCCACTGTCCGATGCTGGGAATCATGACAACTACTATGGCAGAAGACTTCGGAATAGGTGCGTTCTACATAGTCACCCTGACAAAAAGACCAAGTTGCGACAACGAGGTCAACCCACTTCTAAGAAGTTAAATACATTATAATTTAAGGTAGTAAAGGCAAGAAGACACAATACACTTCTGATTCTCTTTAGCATTGTTGTACCAACTTCCATTTCGAGTGAAAGTGTCGGGTGAAGAGATTCGAAGGTCGGTTTCACGGCGGATTCCTCGTGAC